TTAAACCAAATAGAGCTGTTTTTATAAGAAGATTCCTCGATGAGCTTTTATAAATTATAAGTTTTACAAATACATTATCGAGAAAGACCTCGCAAAGTAGTGAAATCTCCGGTCTGTAACGAACGGTATATTGTGATGCCATCATGTAGGGAAAAGGACACTGAATAACAATAACAAGGTTCTGTTGTAGAGAAGAAATTATTTCATTCCTTGCCATTAATACTTTGATAATGATGATAATGATAATCTTACTAAGCGACTAGATGCATGAAGATTGAAAAAAAAATATGGAACTGTTAGAGTGTCAGTATAAACCTTTCTTTAGTTGACGATTTTTTGGTGGCACCACATAATTCGTTTATTTCTTGACAGGCGCGATCTCTGAAAGTAAGCCAACAGCAAGGCACAGGACCTGCAACAACTGGACCAGTACCTCAACCGCCACGAGCCAGTAAACTGCCTCCCATGGATGCACAGAAAAACCAACAAACTGATGAGATACTCAATGCAATTCTGCCTCCAAGGTACATATCATTTGCATGGTTTTGGTGGTGTTTATTTGTCACAGGAGCCGAAAAAGTTGAGGAAAACTGCCTCTATGGGATAATATAATTTGGTTTTATCAGCTAAGCTGATAATATTAGTTGGCTATCATAGAGAATTTCAAAAGCTGAAATTCCAAGCATTAGCCCTTTGTTGGAGTAAAGGGCTAACAGACAAAGGGCTAACACTTAGAAATTCAGCTTCAGAATTCTCTATGGTGGCCAATTTACATTCTAAACTTTGTTGATAAACTAAATTATCTTGTAATACCCTCAACAGAACGCTCACCACAGTTTCTTAAGAAACTTATCCCCTTTACACATCTCTATGCGGCCACCTTTGGGAGTCTCACCTTCTGTGTGGCGTAAAAACATGTATGACTCATTAGAGAGCTTACAATAGGATGACTCAAGAATTTGAGCCAAATGAGTTGACCTTGTTTGCCTATTTTTAAGTAGGTTTCCATGAGCAAAGCATTGATTGTAGCTGTAGCTTGTGTCTCCTTAACTGGTGTTTTTTATCCTGCTGATAAGAACTTGGTTATTCTTTTATTTTACAGGGAATGGACTGAGAATGGTCAGTTATGGGTGCAACAGGTGTCTAGTACTCCAGCCACAAGATTAGATGTGGTTAATTTACAGGTAATCATTAGGGGTTTAAGCTTTTGATTAAACAGTTATTGGATTCTGTTTTGTGATATCCGGAATAGTCATGGTCTTGGTTAGTGTTATCAGCCTAAGCCGAAGGCTTCGGCTGATAACACTTACCTCAACCTTGATTATTCCGGATATCACAAAAACCGAATCCAATAATTGTTTAATTAAACATTCTTTTAGTATTTCTGAATCTTTATCTTCAAGTAATTTCTCAATTTCTCGCTGGGTCGGTGAAGCAAATCAAGAAGCCATTCTTACTTCACTGTCCATGAACTTGACGTTGCTCCACCGGAAATCATGCATTGGGTGCGCAACCTACAGATTATTCACTAAACTGTAGGTACAAATCAGTGAATAATCTGTAGGTTGCGCTGTTTCCTAGAATTAACTGTAGGCATTTAGCCAATGAGAAGACAGATGGTGACTACAATAACTGCACTTAGCATTAGCCCTTCAGTTAGCCCAATGGATGGTGCACTGGACTGTTGTGCAGGAGGTCAAGGGTTTGAGCCCCGGCTAGACCAACACTCAAGGTCTTAAAATAATTGAGAAGAATTTGCTACCTTTCTAGGAAATGGTTAGATATTCTAGTCTTCTC